GTCAGGGAGTGGAGGTCATGCTGATTTATTGGCAATTAAACCTGCAGGATATCTGCACTCCTTTCAAAACAAAGTATCTCTGGGTAATTCAGCCTGCCAGATTACATAATGGGCTATCTACTAAAATGCATGAATCTTTTTGTTTGTGCACAACAGAAACAATTGACTTGGTCTTATTTAGGAAATTGCTACTATTTTCTGTAAGGTATTTGTATTACCCATGAAGAGAGGGAGGTAAGTTATTTCTTAAAAATGCAAGATTCTCTCCAATAGTAAAAGTGATGTTTTTATTCCTTACATTGTTGAGAATATAAAGTCTACAGATAAGCTTCCTCCTGCTTAAGTGAAAATAGATGACTCTGCTAAATATATAGTCCAAATGCTAAGGGAGACTATATTTGCTTTACTCGAAGTTTGATTTACCCATTCTTGAGCAGCTACTTCAGCATGGGCTTTCAAACCAGGCTGCTTTGGCGTAGCCCGTTTGTCATGCTTTTCTAGCTGTATCATTTAGAAGTCTGTAAAATGTCTCCCTTAAGTGGCATAGCTGAACTGACAAAATTTTCACTATTCTGTTTTGGCAGAACCATCTCAAACAGGTTTGGGCTTCCGTAAATACCGAGATAGCATACCAAAAAAAACAAATGCAAGTATTCCCACCCAAAGTGGTTCCCAGCATACCAATAATGTCAAGGTCTTTCTAACATAGATAAATTATTAGCTCTGTAAGCAGTTTTGGATATCCAATATTCTAGAGTTTCAGTGTTTTAGTGGTGATCCAACGTGTGTATGTTGGTTCTCAGATGTGCAGCATGCAGTGCAGCAGGGATACCACAGTCAGAAACCAGCTCTGAATATCTTTCCAATCAGTATGGAAAAATTGGTTCTGACCAACCAGTTTTAAACAAGAACCTCAAGGCTGAGTACCAGTTAGAACATAGCAGATGAGAGAGAGCAAAGAGAGCAGGCAGCAGGACTGAGGAAGAAGAAATGGTAAAAATCATGCACTGCACAGGAAGCCTCATGGCTTTGCCTAGGGGGAGGAGAGAGCTCACATGCTGGGCTGGTGGTAGGAGGGAGCAAACTGGGAGACGATCACAGACAAAAACTGCAGGCAGGATGTTGCCATGCAGGAGCCGAATAGACAGGCACGCTAACCTGAAGAAGGAATAAGTCTTTGTGAAGCCATCATTTCAAACAAGTTATCAACACAAATCTGAGATGCTGTTTGTAACCAGAAGTCCTGGAGGAAGCAGGTGTCCAAACAGAGCTGGGGCAGCTCTGTTTTTTGTGATATCTCTTTCTGGGCCTTCGGCCAGATCACTACACTTTGCTAGCAGATCAGCTTTGTGCTTGATGCAGTCTGGCCCTGGTCCTGCCTTGGTCCCTGTCCTTCAGAGGACAGATCAGTGGCTGCCTGGTTTGGAGAGGAGGTGCTTTCATGGCTCTGAGTGGCATGGGTCAGGTCTGGCTGATGTACTCATGGCAAATCCCTGCTGTGCCCCTCTGCCCTTGTCTGCTCCTCCCCAGAGAGGCTGACTGCAATTTATGAGAGGCAGATTGCATCTTCCCAGTGGGTTCTCCAAATAATAGGCTCCATGAAACAGGCCTGGATGGGGGTTCTCTCTGCACAGGGAAAGCTTTAGCCCAGGATACCTGGGCTATAAAGACATCTACCATCAACAAAATAGAAGTCCTGAAGATACTGACCCTAATGTGGAAGAGGTGGAAGGGTTTATTTTCTGCAGAAGAAAAAAAAAAAAAAAAAAAAAAAAAGAACAAGACAACGTGAGCCGTGAGAACTCGCCTCTGGCAAGAATTGGTGCAAGAGCCTGGAAAGGGAGAGACAGCAGTGAGAGTTTTTGGCCTTGGCAATGCAGGCAGGACTTGTCCTTGAGTGGGCAGCGCCTCCAAGGCCAACTGGAGCAGGGCCAGCAGGCATCAGCAGCCTCTGCTGAGTCTGCATTGGCTTTGTGCAGAAGGTGACACAAGAACAAGGTAGGGTGGAGGGCACCTCCTGCCACCTCCTCAGCACCTACCCCAACCATCCATTTTCTCCTTGCCTCCTGCAGCCACCTCTGGTGGAGTTTTGGGGACTGAAAGGAGCACTGGGTGAACACCCTGAGCATCTGTGTGAAGTCCAGTGGTGTAGCACAGTAAGTAATGTCTGCCCTGCCTATTTTAAAGGCCTGTTTTGGGAAATAGCACCGTGTCTTTATTATATATAAAAGCTCTGCTTTTCTTGGTTGCTGTTTTGCTGTAGGTTTTCTTCAGCACCACTTGTTCTTTGCCAGTGTGTGGTAGAAAGCCAAGATGTCCTGAAGTCCTTGTGACAGTGCTGGGGGAGCAAAAGGGAGTCCAGGGCAGTGTGAAAGAGTGATTTAATCTCTCCAATCCTAAAATTTCAGAACAAGCAGCTTTCAAGGATTTTGCACAAAGCAGCCTGGCAGTTCAGACTCTGTGCCGTGGCTCTCCAGCTTCTCATGGGTAAGCGAAGGAGTGGCAGGATGACACAGGTGGCTTTGACTCTGATGTGGCTGCTCTCAGCCCTCTGCCATCTGCTCCCTCTTGCTCTCAGAAATTGCCCATAGGATTTAGCAGGCAAACTGTATCATTGTAGTGAAGCAGGGATGAAACTCAGCACTCACACCAAGCCAGGAGATGAGCACACATTCCTCCACCCTCCTGTACCCTGTGCCAGCTTTGATGATACCCACGGAAAATGCTGGGCCTTCGACGAGACCTGGGGCACATTTGGGTGCTCCAACACTGTACAGGTGAGCTGCTGCAGAATTGCAACTACTCACAGAACCATGGGATCACAGAATCACGGGCACTTCTAGAATATGGTGAGTTGGGATGAGTATCAGACAAGGCCGAAAGTTGAAGCCTTTCTGAGAATTGTCCTGCACCTTCTCCTGTCCCCCTTCTCAGATCCACTGCTGCATCACTTGTCATTTCACAGGCAGCAAAAGAATAAAGCCGACTCTAGTTGTTGTTGGAGTTTAACCAGGTGGCACAGAAGGTGCTCCAGAAAGCCTTAAAGCTTGCTTATTGCCTTTACTGGATTTTCTACAGCATAGTATAGCTTAAAGCCAGAGAAATCCCTCATGTACGCATGTCCATGGGGACATGGGGAAGATAAAGATGATGTCTTTCGGAAGGCACAGAAGCATTTTATTGTATTTGAAGTGTTATGCCACACCATTGTTTAAATAAAATGCCCATTCAAAGTCCAAGGCTTTATATTTTGCTCGTTTCCTTGAGGCGGTGCTCACTTCAGTTCAGGACGCTTTCGGTTTATAACTTTTTTTTTTCTTTGTGTTTGCATTTTTTTCTTTCACTAAAATGCAAAAAAAGTGAGAAGGCATCGGTTCCTACTGAACTCAGACTATATTTTTAAAGAGTAAATGGAAAATTTGTGGGCAGCTCTGCTCTAAATGTCAGGGTGTAAACATAGTCAACTACTGGGTGAGAATGGATGCTACCCTCAGTGGCTGGTGGTGGAGCTTTCATGGAAAATACATTGAAGTCTGACAGATATTTTATTCAAAAAGCCCTCTTTGAGGGGGTCAAGGAGCTGGGCAAAAGGCAAGCCGACACACCCTGGCTTCAACAGGCAAATAGTGCTGGGCAGAGGAACAAAAGGAAGCGTGTGGTGGGGCAGGCGAGCTTGCCAGAGCAGCGGTGGTGCAAGCGCTGCCTGCTCTGCAAATGCAGCCACAGCACCCAGGGCTGCCACGAGAAACACAGTGACCTTGTGTAAAGGCAGTGCCTTTCGGAACAGTAAACCACAGGACGTGCTTTCTGGCCGAGCGTGTTTGCTCTGCTGAACTTTTAAAAATGTGCAGGCATTGTAGCCCGCATGACATCAGGTGGGGGCACAGCAGTGTGCAGAAATATTGGTGAAGATTGATTCAGGCGGATCATCCAGGCAGTAGCTGCTTGATTTAAATGGCCAGATCAATAATGGCTGGGGATTTATGCAGGCCCTCAGCTTGGGATCCCCCTTGATCTGAAGTAGGTAAGTTTGGTAGCTACCAAGGCAAGATGCAGTGTATAATTTTTGGAGATAGAGGACCAGTAATATAGGTAAAAGAGCCCACGACAGGCAAAGTGTTGTTGGTACCTGCGGTGCTCATTCTGTTTTTAATGGCTGGGGAATTGCCTTGAACCTTGGACGTCCTTAGTAATACATAAGCACACCTCCATTTTCCACCAGGAAAGGCTCTGGATAACATCTGAAGCTGAAAAAAATAAATAGAAAAAAATAAAAAGAGAGAGAAAACAAGGCAACTTGAATGCTGTTTCTGGACCTGGCCATGCAAACAATTTCAAAATAAATACTTATGTGTGGTTCCAGCTAATGTGGAGTGGGGGAATGGGGAATTCCCTTGAAACACTTATGCTTCCCCATTCTCCCTTGCAAAAGAAATGACTGCAGTGCACCGGAGGCAGCGAAGGCTGTGTCCTGCAGCCAGCAAGGAAGCCTTGGAAGGCTGAACAAACTTTTTTTGTGGCGGCAGATGGGTGCAAAAGAAAACTTCTTCCCGCTGCCTGTGAATGATTTCCCAGCTCCTATTATCACACTGTAAACCTCTAAGTGCGCCGAGCAAGCAGCCCTGCGAGGCTCAGACCCAAAGGCACGGGCGAGCACAATGCGGGGCAAGGCAGAGCAAACATGGCAGCGTGCGGGCTTGTGCTGCCGGGATCCTTCTTGTGTGTCAAGTTGACACAAGGGGAGAAAAAATAAAAGAGGCAGATTTAATCTCTGGGCAAAGCAAGCTTCCCAGGAAACTTTCTCCGGGCGGCCGCTGGCTCGGGGGCAGGGCTAGGGCCGGGGAGCCTCGACGGGAGCCAGGCTCCCCCCCCCGGGCCGTGCTCCCTGACGGGGCTGGGAGGCCGGGGCGGGCCGGGGCCGGGCCGGGCCGTGCCGGGGCGGGGCGGGAGGCGGTGGGAGGCGGCGGAGGGGTGGCGGCCGGGCCCGGTTGCCATGGGGAGGCGGGGAGGGAGGCGCCGCCGCCGCAGCTGCTGCTCCCTGACACATCCCCCGCTGCCATATTGTGCCCGCGCTCCCGGCAGCGCGGCTTCATGACCGCGGTGAGTGAGCGGCCGCCTCCCCTCCCGGCTACCCGCCCGCGGTTGCTTTCTCCATTTTATTTAAAAGAAAAAATATATATATATCTATTTATTTATTATTTCGGGAGGGTCTGAGGGGGTTTCGGCTTCTCCTATTAGGCAGGGCGCGGCGAAGAGGCTGCCGGGGGGGGGGCGGCGGGGACGCGTGGCCGGGCCGGGCGCCGCACGGGGGCATAGGGGGGACAATGGGGCGACGGCGGCGGAGCGCTGCGGGCACGGCTCGGCACCACACGGCTCGGCTCGGCCGGGCTGGGCCGGGCTCGGCACCACACGGCTCGGCTCGGCCCGAAATGGCGCCCCGGCCCTCGGCGTGCGGCGGCGGGAGGAAGCGCTGCCCGGCAGCGCGAGGGGGCGGCTCCTCTTCCTCTTCCTCCTCCTCCTCCTCCTCCTCCCGCACCCCCGGCTGTGCCCGCCCGGCCCCGGGGAGCCGGGCTCGTTAGCTGATGAGCGCTAATGAGGAGGCAGGCGGGTAGGCAGCCTGCCGGCTCGCCCTCCCCCGAGCCTGCTTTCGGCCCGCCGAGCCGCGCCTCGCCTCGCTCTTCCGTGTTTTCTGATTATTATTTTTTTTTTTAGTATAAAATAAAATCCTGGAGCTGCTCGTTTGGTAGTTAGGGAGTGCAGCGAGCGGTACGCGCTGTAGGTTATCCTGCTGCGCGCGGCTTTGCCCAAATTGGTGGAAAGTTTCCCCAGGAATGCAGGTGGGTGCGCGCCGGGGAGGTGCGGGAGGGGGGCTGGGGGCATCCTGCAGGGCAGGTGGGGGCTCTGGAAACCTCCTCGATAAGGAGCTGACGGGGCTGAGAGCTGCTCCTGCTGGCTTACAGGCCCGGGGCTTTTACCTGTGTGAGGTGGAGCCTGGTGCTGGAGCGCACCCCAGGCTGAGGAGCTGTGTAATGTGTGTGTGGGTTACCTGAACGTGCGCCTGGCGTCCCAGTTTGTAGGGGGATCATGCTTCTGTCCATAAAGATTTGGATTCTGTTAAAGCCCAAACAAAAAGGCAGGGCCCAGTAAGCCTGTGTCCCTATTTCAGTGGTTAGCTAGGCTAGAGATGAACATATTCCGCAGAACACATTAAAAAAAAAAATCTAAATTACATTTCACTTCGATGCTTTGAGGATAACTTGGTTAGGTTTGTGCCTAACTCATGGTTTGGCACAGATCAAGGTAATTTTAAGAAATGTGGCAAGTGGTGTATACTCCAAATCTTGTTATGGGTGACTTAGATCCAATTGTACTTGGATAGTGGTTGGCTTGCAATGTACCGTCGTGTGAATCATTTCAATCAACTTCTGTTACGTTTTTGGATTTGGGGGTCTTGTGTTCTCCTAGAAGTCTAGTGTGATGATGAATCTGTGCAAGGTAAATTAAGCTGGCACAGTCCTACATCGACAAAACTTGGAACAGCGTTGTGGTGTTGGTGCATGTTTTCGACAGGTGCCAGTTGACATTTCCCAAACTCTACAGAAGGTAGCTGGACAAGGCAGCTTTGACCTGAAACCTGTACATGCAATTAGCATGGCACAGAGCTTGAGCTAATGAACTTAGATGAGTACCAGTATGTATCATTTTTAAACCAGGCATTATGGGGCTGCAGCAACATGGCTTCTGCTCAGGTCCAATGCATGTCCAACTTCTTTGGACCTTGGGAATAGTTTCTGTATGCCTCAGTGCAAAGTGCTCTGCAGGATAATTCCCTTGTGCTGCTGACAGAATAAGGTAGTGAGTTGTCATGATTTCTGTGCTCGTCTGTTCCCATGTTGCCTTCACCCCAGTGTAGGTGCTCAGCATGTGGGCCGTTCCTGCCACTTATGAAGGTAAGTCCCAGCCTCACCTCAGTTTTACCCACCTGTCCCTTTTGTCTGGTACACCACACTGACGTCTGCACCACCTCAAGGACTGGGTCAGTGCGGGGGTGGGTATGAGCAGCCAGAGTGGTCACAGGGGGAACTGCTTTTTCTGGCAGTTGTTGTTGCTTACGCTGGCCTAAAACTGTTGTCAAGCTGTGACTTGGCTTTTGGAGAAATACAAATGAGATGGGAATTCTAACACCATATGTTTGAGATACATAAAACGTGTAGGACTTCTCTGTGTTTTGTTTTGTTTCTTTTTAATGTGCCCATAAGCAGAGCTCTGGTGCTCTACATCACATTTATGCTTGCAGAGGATGCTATGTTCATTCAGGCTGCCATGCTGCCTTTGGGAGCAGAGGGATCTGGGGGTTGGAGGCATTGGTCTTGCAGCATTCTGGGTGTGTGGTTCCAAGTGCTCTCAGGGGCTTCACTGGTATGAAACCTGGTTGATGTCTTTGTTGCCAGGATGAAGTTCTGACCCCTTCAGGTGCTGCAGGCCAAGCTGTACTGAAGGAGCTCTGTAGGTATTGCTTAGCCCTAAAGATGTTTTATTCCAAAAGGGACATCAACCAAGGAGTATGCTGATTCAACAGCTCCAACTGCCAAACGCTTGCTTCTTGAAGAGCTTTCCCGTTTCCTCTGGGGAGTTCATGATGAAAGGTGCCAGCGTTGCCAACAGCTATTGCAGTGTAGGAACATGCCAGTCCATTAAGGAACTAACAGATACAGGGATGTGTATTGGATCTGTCACACTAGAAGGACTGCCTGACAAGCCAGTGTAGCAGAGGCATCTCATTTTTTACCATCTTTACTGAAAACAGGCTCTGCCTGCTCAACTCAGTTGCCTTGAAGAACCATCACATAGAGCGAAGGCTGACTCTTTCAGCCAACAAGATGACTTGGCACCTGAAGAGGCCATACAGGGATTAGTTCAAACTGATGAGAAAGTGGTACGGCTCTTGCATGGAGATGTTGGTTCCCATAAAAACAGTGGCAGTTCTGATGCTGTTGCCACTAGGGTTGTAATTCTGCCTTCCTCCCAGCTGGACCATAACCTGTGAGGTTGCAGAACATGCGGGCATTGGAAGAGGGGATGGTGTGCTCACCGCTGCTGTTGCTGTACGCCTCTTAAGCCATATCCTTCAATGGGATATTTTTACTGCACCATCAAGGTGCAAAATTAGCTGTGTGAAATGCTGCCTTCCTTCACAGACCCTTCATCAAGGAGAAGCAGCCCTTAGGCCTTTTGTCCCTGTAAGTGAAGGCTGTCAGCTTCAGCTTTTCACCTTTTAGCAGAGGTGTGATGAATTCTGCCCGTTTTATTCCATTTGGCTCCTTGAGTTTTCTTTTTGTTGTTCTGCCCCCTCCCATGTAATGAGGTGCATTATGGATAAGATCATGTCTGAGATGTCGTAGTGTTAGTTGCAACCAGCCTCCTTTTTGGAGGGAAGTAGATAGACTGAGGCAGTTGAGTCTGCCTCCTGTGCCTCCTGCTTGACAATTAGATGGTGTTGTGTAACTTCCTGTGCAGAAATTCTGCTGTCATCGGTGTTTTGTGACTCATGTAAACACGCTGCTTTGTCTGCTGACAAGTGTGCACTTGCAAACTGCAAACCTTGTCCAGGTCCCTGGTATCATGAATTCAAGGATTGGTTTCTGTCTTAGGTTTTGTGTGCTGCCTGCATGTCTTGTACCAGCTCTGGCAGCTTCCTTGACTCCCAGAGAAGACGTCCACAAGTAAAACAAGAAATGTCTGAAATGCTTCTATGCTGTCTCTGAAGGGACCTTTGCACATAATACATGTTTATCCGTTCCCTGCCATATTGCACGTGCCTTCTCACTTGCTGATCTGAGCACATGTTGAGCGGTGATAAGCTTTCTTTCTCTACCTCCCTGTGCTGGGTAAAAGCACAAACGGATACTCCAGGGCACTCGCAAAATACAGTTCAGGTAAGAGACAACTTACCCACTTAGTAATGAATTAGGTACTGCAGAGGAAGTGCTGTCTGATGTTGGATGGCATCCTTGTGGCCTCTGGTACTTTGTCTCTTTCCTGTAAAATGTTAGGGCTTCCGAAGCACGAGCACTGGATCCCACTTGCACTGGAAAAGAGCTGCTGAGGGCCTGGGGGTCTGCCTGGAGGTAACTGGGAGGACTGGCTGTTGTGTGTAGGTTACCTGTGTTATCAGTGTTACAGGATGGTTACCTGAGTGCCAGTTTCATTTTAAGGGAAGCTTGCGATTTGTATGTATATCAGATGATTTATACCAAAACTCAGCAATGTTGTTTTTACTTTTTTCTATTATGTTCAAATCTTTTTTTTTTTTTCCCTAAGTTCAACCTGGACTTCAAGTTCTCTGCTGTTCTTCAGAGGTCAGGGTATCTTAAGAGCTCCCTTATTAAATTAGCTGTTGCTGCTGTAGAAGTCTCTCTTTCTGTGCCCTCTACAAGGATTCAAGTATGAGTTGTGCTTGCTTTCACCCCGTTCCTGCTGGCAGAAAGTCCCCATGTGGTCTGCTTGCCCCTGTGGTACCCCCACTGGCTGTCCTACAGGATGGCAGTTTAGTCCAAGCTGGGTACCACCAGTACCACCTCTTCTCTGGGACTTACGAAAGGAACAAGTTAGAAATGCATCTCTAAGAGAGGCAGTGCTGTCCTTCCCCCCTGTTGGCACTGAGCACGGCTCAGTGTCAGAGCTACTGGTTGGCATTGCTCAATGTGCCTCAACAGCATCACTGGATACCTCTGACCCTGCCAGAGTGACCATGTTTTCCATCTAAGTACTGGATTGGGGGTACTCAGGTGCTTCTACTCCATCTTTGTATTATTTCACTCATTTTCTACCAGGTGAGCGCCCCACCTGTGTGTGCTACATGAAATGCACTTGCTTTTTTGGGGATGGGCTGTGTGCTTCACAAAGTGAGACCTGACGTGCTTCCAAATCCTGCCTCTGGTAGAGGGACCATGCTGTTTTTTTTTTTTTTTTTTTTTTTTGCCTTTTTTTTTTTGGATCATTTTTGGTACGCTCTTGTCTTGCACTTTGTAGCTACTTGTAGTTTCCTGGTTAATGTGTGGTTGCTGTTTGCTTCCTTTTCAACACCCTGTTGCTGCACTGCGTTGTGCTTGCATTCGGGACAAGTGTGTAGTCGCCTAAAAGCTAATTACTGCCTGCGAAGATTGCTCAGTGACTGAAAAGCTCACACAAACTCAAACTGGGAGTGGGAGCTGGGAAGCTGGTTGCCAAACAGCAGGAGCAATTGCTCAATCCTCATCCTCTGGCCAGTGAGCCAAAATCCCTGGACCAGCAATCAGAAAGTGTCACTTGGTGTAGGGATGTTGACCAGTCAAAGTACGAGCTCATTTGCTTTTGGACTCTTGGCTGTGCAGTCTGAGAAGTGTCGGATGTCAGCTGGTGCCTCAGTAACCTACCTGTTGGCACAGCTGCCTTTCCTCTGCAGTCAGAGAAACTTGCATCATCCGTCGGATTTCATCTGAAGGTGTGCCGGCAGCCCGCAGGTCTCTCTGTGATGATGAGCTGGGTTGGCCCAGTTGTTCCAGCGTCTGATTGCTGTGGGGAAGAAAGGATCATCTTGTGCCCCAGCCATTGTTAGCAGAGGGATTCTTCTGGTGGAATTTTAATACAGAAAGCCAAATTCAACGGAGTTGGGAGTGCCTGAGTGCTTCTGAGGATGGCAGCAGGTGGTGTTTGTATATTTGGCCTGCATCAAGATACATCGATGCTAACAGCTGCTTTTGGGATACGGCTAAAAGGAAAATCAAGCAGCAGTGCAGAAGTCGGGCCTGTCCCACGCAGGGAGGGTTCCTGAAAAGCCCTCTCAAAATGTGCCTGG